CGTGAGCTACGAAAGGACAAAGAGGCAAAAACATGCCCTTTTACAGGGTAAACAGTAGCGTCAAACACATTTTACACAGTAGAGTTGCAAAATTTTTTGGAAGATACGAAATTTATTACTTATTAGACAGGGTTCTGAGCTAAGTGTACACGGTAGAGAAAAAAAAGCGAGGCTTGAGACAAAATCGAAAATTCTAATAAAATTGCATTTATAAATTACAACTTGTAATATGAATCTCTCATTTTGTTATTACGGGTTTGCCACATTATATAATTAGCTCATGCAACCGTGTGAATATTAAAGAAATTGCAACTGCGCATCAGGGTTGCTTTTCCTACCAAAATTGGTAGTTTTTTTCTCGTTGGTAGGATGGCAGGACGCTTAAAATTTTGGTAGGATTCTTTACTCATAAAACAGAAAACCTTTCTGGCTTGTTGTAATGTGTCACTTTGTCAGCACTATGAATAGGATTGCCAAACTTTGACAATATCAATTTTACCCTCATTCATTTAAAAACCCCATTGCTTACTGGTATAGGCAGAATTTTACCAATTACCTTCGGAAATTCTCTGAACTCTTTATTCGTATAAAAAGTTGTATTCACTGCGTATCTAAATATCAAGTTTTTGAATTGATGGATGTAAATGCAGTTTTATAAATGAGATATTTTCCTTTGAAATGCCGTTGCAAATCGATAATAGTCTGAACAATGTCAAGATTGTGAAAATATTTTAAATGGCACTAGAAAAGCGATTCAAAAAAGATAACCCAATAAGGGGTTATATATATTCCCAATAAGTGGTTAGTCATATTTCCAATAAATCGGAGAATATCAAGGTTTTTACCCGCAACTCGAAGGAATTTATGTCAAACCCGCAGCGCGCAGATTTTGTCCCAAACCCGGAGGCTCCTCGGTTTATTTCACCTTACTTATGTATATGTATATCAATACTTAAATGTGAAAAGGCGCCAAGTCCATTTTTTGAAATTGTTTAGGAGAAACGAAAAATCGATGTAGTTTCGCATTATCTGTCATTCTGCATCACAAACTAAATTAAAATATATGGTATTGGCACCTTTCCACCTTTATATATTTATATATGTATGCAAAAAATCTACGACGGAATTTTATTTTCCGCTACGATTTTTCACGTCATTTACTCCAAAGGCTTTATTAAAACTAATAAACTGCGAATTGTTTGCCACTTTTTCGGTTGTTCGCAATTTACTCGAAATATTGAAGGTCGAAATACATGTCGGTAGGTGGGTCTGGTTAAAATTACACACCACTTTTTTGTGTGTGCTATATGTATATGATAGCTATTATTCTGTTTTTTTTTTTGTTTACTGGATATCTTATTTTAAGTAAAAATAAATATTTTTAATGCTGTCTTGATTAAAAGGAATGGGAAGAAATAAGCATTTTCGTGGTTTTTTGAACCAGCTCTTGGTAGGAAAGCAAGTTTTTCTGAGGCAACCCTGCTGCGTATAGCGACCAGTGTTGCCAGCTATTTTGTAGACGTTATTTTCGACGTTTAGCTATAGAAATTTTTGTTTAGCTATTAGCTACTTTTTAAGCTTTTTTTAATCGAGTTAGCTATTTTAGCTACAATCTTTTTTTATAATTTTCCCATTTTTATACGGAGTTAATCATTTTGATGCATGTCAAGCATGCCTTTTGTTATATCGATTACACCGTGCGACAAGGGAAGCAATAATTGACGGTTTCTTCATTAGCCAACTTCACTCTTTAGCGCGCTGTCTGTCGAAATCCGATTCTCCAACTGGAGTGTAAGAACCAAAATTCTGATTTTTTGGAAAATCGAGTAATACCTTAACCGCGTAGGTACTCGATACCCACCTAAGTACTTACGAGATCGATTCGAGCATAAAGGTACTAGAAGAAAGTATCGAGTAGTTTTACTCGTAGTTACTCTTATCAGAACCACACTACTCCGAGACTTTAGAGAAAATATAGTATATATAGTCGGATTTTTGAGAAAGGTATTCCAAACTTCAATCGCAATTTCCAAAACCTTCCGAAAGTAACTTACGACAATCTTTTAGGCAGACGACAATACTGAAAAGCTTCTAAAAAACAAATAAAATATTGTTGGTATTTCCGGAGCTTAATTCAGAGTTTACCGACAAAAATGTTGAGTTCTCATAACTGCATACGTTATCTAATATGTTTGTTGGTATACAATGTATATGTATGTTGTATATTGTATGTACATTATTTTCTGAAAATGGTATTCTGTTATAAATATTTGTGCAAGTCTGCTTTATGTAGATAAGATTACAAACTGAGTTACATACATATGTATGCACATATTTATGCGAAATTTTTGTTAACTATAACTGAAAGAAGCCCGCATACAACTGAAGCTAAGTATGTATTTGAGTTCTATTAACATAAACACGGCAATTGTTTATTAATGACTATGCACCTAATAAATAGGTGTGTTAAAAAAAAATAAAAGTTAAAAGCAGTAATAGACTCTTCTACACACATACACATCTATATTTTTTATAGTTCACAGTAATTACACATATCTTAAAAAGAGAGCTGGGTGGTATTTTTTGCTCTCGCTATGATTGGCCATAAAATTTGCTCCGGTGCAATTGGACGCTCCAGCGAAACGCAGTTCGCCAATTTAAAAGCCAGCTCATTTCCTTGAACACCATGGTGTCTTGGCCTTCGCACAAGTTGAAGGTCATTCCATTTTTTTAACAGAGGTCAGCCTGAACTTATATTCCTGTTCAAAATTTTATAATCGCGAATGTGGAAACCTCGAAAATTACGCCGTTTAAAAAAATCATGTTACTTTATTCTTTTGGTAGTTAATTTAACGTTATTTGACAAGTCGATCCCAGCCATTCAGTGGTATGGAAGCTATACCAATCTAACAGCCGCACTTAGAGTCATTTAATGATTACTTAAGGTGTTCCTCAGTAATGATTTGAAAAAATTCCCTCTCAGAGTCAGTTAATGATTCGTTACCGGCATTTAATGAACATTAAAGTTAAGTAAAGAAAAACCTTTGATTAACTTTTAACGAACGATTTTGAAATTTTTTGGTTGTTTCCAATAAACTTAAATTTCGATAAAGTTGTTAAAGTGGCAATAGCCCAGTGAGCAGAGCACTTTCGGGTCATTCGAGGTATCCGAGTTCAATCGAGTTTTCATTAATTTTTTTCTTTTAATTTTTACGTTTTATTCCCTAAAAAGTTAACAATTTTTAATTTTATTTAATGTTTAGAAAGTTTTTTGATTAATCTTTTTTTCTTTATTTACTTTCATTTTCTAAAATGTTTAGTTTTTCTTGTTTTAAAAAGAGTTTTTAATTTCGTTTATTTTTAAGAAAACATTTCGAAACGATAAATGGAATAATGCTATCCTCCTCGTTAGCAGACCTTTTAATTAATCTTTCAAAATACAGAAAACAGCTTTCAAGATAGTTGCCGGAATAGGAAGACTTTTGTCTTTCGAAAGACTGTGGTGAGTTGAAAAACAGATGCCAGAATTGGTATGTTAGTGGTTTTGTTTGTCTTTTGTAAACAATTTCTAAAAATTAAATTAAATAAAAAATCCAGATTCTTTTTATACCCGAGCGCACTTGTGCACAAGGGTATTATGACTTTGTTCACATAACGGTTGTTTGTAACAGGCAAAACGAATCGAGATAGATATGGACAAACGTATACATAAATGATCAGGATGAAAAGAGAAATCGATTAAGCGGTGACTGTCTGTCCGTCCGTCCGTCCGTCCGTCCGTCCGTCCGTCCGTCCGTCCGTCCGTCCGTCTGTCCGTCCGTCTGTGCACACGATAACTCGAGTAAAAATTAAGATATCTTAACGAAACTTGGTACGTGTACTTCTTTCGGACGTAGGACAGATGGTATTGAAAATGGGCAAAATCGGACAGTAACCTACCTCCCATATAACGGTAATTTTCATAAATACGAAAACTGCGATATTTTAGTAACTACTGAAGATAATTCACTCAAAATTGATATTTACAACAATTTTAAGACGAAAAATAAGAATATTATAAATTTTTGGAAAATGGGCGTAGCCACGCCCACTTATGGTTACATGTGTATATCTTGGTAACCGCTGCACCAATTTCTTGCAAACTTGGCACAGTTGTTGGCCTTGATACAGCATACCAAATGGCCGAAAAGTTTTAAAATCGGACAATAACCACGCACACATCTCATATAACGGTAATTTGGAGAAATACGAAATCTTCGATAAATCAGTAAATATTAAAGCCAATTTATTCAAAATTGATGCTTGCAACAATTCCTTACCAGGAAATACGTCTATAATAAAATTTTGAAAAATGGGCGTGGCACCGCCCACTTATGATCACATATATGTATCTCGGTAACCGTTCTACCAATTTGTACCAAAATCGGTATTTTTATTGTGCTTGCCACATAAAAGCAAACCGTTGAAAATTGTTGAAATCGGACTAAAATTATGGCTTTTCATATAACAGTAAATTTTAGAAATGCTTAAAACGTCAATATTTTGAAATTTAAGGTCGCTAATTTACTCAAAATTGATACACCCCGGCTTGCCATGTAGCGGTAGCTTTCGGAAAGGTGAAAATCATATATTTAATATTTGCGCCGGGTATTTAATGTTCGGCTCCGCCCGAACTTAGACTTTCTTACTTGTTTAAAACAATAAATTCTGCAAATCAAAAGAAACTTCGATTTTCTCAGTAGACTTTGTATGATTATTTAGAAAATCGTTTTCGGTTTAAGGTGTCCAAATAAAGGACGTGCCAAACTTTAGGGCAAGGTAGGTGGGGGGGGTGAGCTCACTG